GACACATAAGGGTAGATAAGATGGTACATATAAAAGCAGCGGGAAGTGGTTTGCATTTCAGTTCGCTTGCACCGTCTTGAAAATGCGTTGTATGCTCCTAGTTCTCCTGCTCTCAACGCTCATCCTTTGTGCTGATTGTACGTTGCTTTCGTCATCATAAGCATAGCTATTTTAGCGAAAATTTTCTATTTGCAGACGACATTCACAAGTTGGCCAAGGTTTTCACTGGAATGACCAGGAGCCAGTCTGATAAGCTCGATCAAATTACGGGTAAAGCCACAGATGCTAACGGCAAAATAGACCAGGTATATAAAGCTATTTTTGTTGCGAAATACAGAAAAAGCACAACTCATACAGACTGACTAGTTTTGCTCATTAGCAGCTGATCGGAACACTAGTCAGGAGGCATGAGGCAGAATTCAGAGTTCGCGATCGCGCGTGCAATCAGCCTATTGGCGGTGATTCCAGATGAATGGTCCGACGTCATAGTCGCTCATCTAAGCGCAATCGCTCGACCGAGAGCGATTGGCAAGCGACGGAAAAGGTCCGTCGCCGACTATGACGTCGGTCTTACGTATCGTACAGGCGATTAGGCGAGTGAGCGATCATGAGGAGAGGCGATCAGGCGAGGAGGCAATCAGGAAAATAGGCGCCCAGGCGATAAGGAAAGGGTACGTATCGATTTTGTTCGCTTCGCTTATTGAGCGATCGCTTGGGTCAGCTACTCGCCTACTCGCCTAAACGATCGTATTCCTTTCCTTATAGGCTGCCGCCCAATTGCCCAATCACATGCACGATCGCGAACTCTGAACGCTGCTCGACTGATCAACGATTTTTGGAGTATTTGATAGCTTTAGGCAAAGTACCAGCGGCTTTTGAAAGAAAGTGGATTGGAGGCGAAAGCGAACAAACTTCGAGAAACATTGCAGGCAGTAGCTAAGGAAGACAAAATAGCTGTTATATACATAGCAGCGGTAAGATAATTATAGCCTCTCTATGATACCCTGTGTGATAAATTTACAAAATCAATGCATCAATTAAGGCGCTTGACTACGCTCACAGAGCAAGACGGGGCAACATGACAGATGATGAAGCATCGGAAAAGTAGATGGTTCATTATTCCTGCATCCCCAAGTGTACGCTTATACTGGTGATTTCAGAACTACGGACGAGTGGAATCGTTTGTCACTGGCGTCGCAAAGATATCTGTCAAGGAAGTTCCCCAAAATTGCGGATGTGGCCGATTAAATGTTATTGTTTTTGTTTGTTTGTGATTAATAAACCTCCCAAATGTTCACAGCTGATATGGTCTGCACCCTTCAAGTTAGTGCTTTGATGGTGCATAGTGGTTTTCCGATCACGGTCATCTTAGAGGTGGGACTGGGAGGGGAGGGAGGGAATGAGCGGCGGGCTAAAGCGGGACTGACGCTATAAGACGGCTTGGAAAGCCGTTGCTGTTGAATCCCGTGTGCTGTCGTAAAGCGCGTTTTTGAAACGAACTGCTTACAAGAAGTCGACGAAGGGGGTAGCGCAGGAATATCGTCACCGATGGAAATGAACGGCAGAGGTGGTACGCAGCGCTTGGGCCGACGTCATAGTTTGCGAATCGAGCGTTGCGCCAGCGAATCGAACGTTGCACCAGCGAGTCGAACTTGTACCAGCGAGTCGAACGATGTACCAGCGACTCAATAGTGGCGGGACCCAACGTTCAAAGGAAGCTAACAGTGTCACGTGACAGTGGACCTTTTTGAAAGTGGCGGGACTTGACAGTGGACACTGTTTGAAAGTGGCGGGCTTCCTTTGAACGTTGGGTCCCGCCACTATTGAGTCGCTGGTACATCGTTCGATTCGCTGGTGCAACGTTCGATTCGCTGGCGCAACGCTCGGATCCAGCGATTCGCTAGCGAATCGCTCGATTCGCAAACTATGACATCGGCCTTTTGGCGGTCGTAATACGATCGTGCCCTGAGTTGCGGGGTCGAAACGGACGATCGAGGTATGGTTCAAAAGAAAGTGTACGTATCGATCGATGCGAATTGAGGCGATGTAGGCAGAGAAGAGGGAGATACGTATTCGTTTTTTGTTGTTTTGCCTATTGAGTGGTCGCCGAATCGCCTGCTTCGCCTACTACGCTTAAATCGATACGGTATCCCTCTGTTATGGGTGATCCCTAATTAGAAAAGTCGCATGAGGTGGCAATCGCCAACATACTGACCGCTGCAGGTAAAGTACGCATTGATGAAGAAAAACCTGGGCAAACGATCTAGCAAGACCTGCAAAGCGGGAACTTTGTTTTCAAAGTTGATTTCTGCTTTGCACGAGTCACATCGAGGGATTATCAACCCTGTCATGCTTAGCCTACCAAAACGGCTAGAGTTCAGCAGAATCCATTGGGTCGGGGGAAGGATAGCACGCGAAAAGAGACGAGGAAACCTTTGCTGAGCCGCTACGGATTGCTCCCTTGTATGGCAAGCACTTTTGCCATTCTTCAACATATATTTATCATTCCATATGCCTTTAAAGACACAGTTTACAGCAATGCCTGCCGTGGAAAGGTAGAGCTTGGGCGCTCATGTCCTTAGGGGGGACATTCTGAACAGGGCATTCAAAAAGCGCTGGTAGGTGACACTACGACTAAGCCCAGGACTGGGAATAAACACAAGGGAGAATAATCGTTGCCCACAATTTCTTTCCCTTCCCTAAAGCTTAGTCCTGAGTTTTATCAGTGGCCCACCCACTCCAATGTCCCCCTAAAGGACCATGAGCGCCAGAAGCTGCTTCACAAAAGGGTAAAGATGTCGCGTCAGACTCTGCGCGATTGCATCGCGATGCCGTGCCATGTGCTCTGCCGGTGGACAAGCGATGGAGCGATCGCGTCGCTCCGGCACTGGTCCATCGCGATACAATCGCCGAGTCTGACCGACATCTAACAGATCTGTCAGAATAACGTCTCAAATTGTGCGACAAAGCCTATCCTACCTGTAGTTCTAATTACCGACCTAACTGGCTCAAACATTGCTATGCAATGGCTGTGTGTTAGTATTCGCTCGTAAGGGATGTGCAATATTTGCTTTGCCAAAATCCAGGAAAGACGAGTACTCTCGAAGATACACCGCGGTTAGGTCCAGTAATGGAGTTGGACTCAGAGATTAACTGCTGCGATATACAGTGGAGAAGGATACAAACTAAAAGGAACCTAGCGGCGACGTTCGACCGTGCTCATCTGACAGTTCCACATGGGTTAAATACAATCGGTAAAGTTACCAATCTTGATTATTGATCTTCCCATCGGCTCACCACCAAATGCGACTCCATGAAGGATGCTGTTACTCACGCTTTTTTTCCTCAGTTTCAGAAAAAGGACAAGAATTTTTATCGCTGAAAATATGAAGTGGGCCCTCTGTGAATGCTGTAAGAAGCGAAAGGGAGTCATTTGAAGGAGGAGCTTTCTTCCCGGGATAGATGGTCCCCTACTTCCTAGGATTATTTTGCAATCAGCCGACAACGGGATTGTCACCCTGTAATCGATGCTATTTCTCCCGTCTCCTTCACTTTGTCCAAGCCTAACGTTTTGCTGAACATTTCTGTCGTAGTGAACTGGAACAGAGCAGAAATGAACTTTATTCTTAGCCACATCTTCTCAAAGTTGTCTACTTTTCGCGATGAATATCGGGTTTATAGTCCGGATCTGCGGCCGCAGTGAGACTTTTCGCGTATAGATCCAGTCTCTGCGTCATCTGGAAAATTGATTTTAATTTTCAGAAAACCTATGCAGCTCAGTAATTTCAATATTTTGTAACAAGGGTCTTAGAACTGTTCAAATTGTTGTGATTTTCCAATGTCTCACCCTGAAGCATAGGCTATCCTTCGTCTGTCGACAGAGGTTCAAGTCGATCTCGGCAATAAGCACACCGTCTCTGGTTCGCGAAAGTCCCTAGAACTTTGTGAGATGATAAGACGTTTTCAAAGTGGGATATGTTCTTTGACCTATTTCCCCCACTATGTTGGAATTTAAACTTGGTATTTCAATTTCTTGAAGAGTAAACACTTTGACAAAGGTAAACACCAGGCGTTGTTGAGAAGATACTCAGGACACTGAAAAAAGAAACTTTTTGCGAACTGACCGGAGTACGACTGCCATCTGGAGCTGCCACATAGGCGCTGCCATAGAACATTCCGATTTCCTTGTGTGCTGAAATTGTAACTGCAATTACTCCTCACTGGTGTAGCTACTTTGGTTACTACATTGATAAGCGAATCGAATGGAATAGAAGTGGACGCATCACCAAGCTGGGCATGTTGAAATCCGACCAGCCGTGCGGATAAATGGAATGGGATGGTTTGCCAGCCGAGAGCTCTGCCAACAGCGGGCTCCGGCTTGCTTGCGGCCGCTGGCTTGTGCAGCATATAGGGCACTCCCACCTTCTGGCTCTATACCGTAAACAGGTCTTGCTTAAATAAGCTATTCGATAAATAGTAAATAAATAGGATCGCCAGGCTTGGACCTCATTGAATCTAGTTTGCCGTATTGAAAAGTCCACCGCAGGCGTGGATGGGTGTAAAATATCCATTATGTGCCCGAGAGCCAATATAGCCAGCCGCATTCGAGAGCATCCTCGAAGGCAAGCTCTGCCTGCGTACGGTTGTAAATTTTCCTGGTTGCTCAACCCACTTTGAGTTTAACTGATCATAAAGGGCCGTTCTTTGTTAGCAAAAACAGCAGAAATAAGCGCGAATGTAAAGCTTTTCACTACATGAGAAAACTTTCTATCAAGGCGCCTGATACTGAACGGAATCAAAAACAATCCTATTAGGCCGCGTTCATAGTTCGCGACTCGGGAGATTAGGATAGTAGGCGACAGGATATTAGGATAGTAGTAGAGTAGGAGATTGCGCTGACAAGATTGGATACGTATCGATTGAAATCGCTGGAGAGTAGTAGATTGGGCGACTTCAAGCGAATAGATCAATACATATCTAATCTTGTCAGCGCACTATCCTAATCTACTACTATCCTAATCTCCTACTCTACTACTATACCGTACTATCGGCTAATATTATCGCAATCTACTACTCTCCAGCGATTTCAATCGATACGTATCTAATCTTGTGTCAGCGCAATCTCCTACTCTACTACTATCCTAATCTCGCCGTCAATACATATGTTTTTCATTGTCGCGTACTATCCTAATCTCCGGAGTCGCGAACTATGAACGCGCGACCATGTTGATTTGTTGCTGTACGGTCTCAGTTTTGCTAATGAAAAGCATCTATCGCCAGCAAAAAAAAGCCTAAAAAAAAAAAAAAAATTACAGAATTCGAGTGAATCCTGCTGACGACTCTTTTGATAGATTGTCAAACAATTCGCGAAAATGGCTTACCTGGACGAGCATCTCCTGAAGTAAACTCGTTCGGGGAACGACTCTTTTCCAACTCTGTTGATGGGCACAGTATAACAGTGATTGGCGATTGCTGCACTACGAGCTTCGAAGGCCCACATTGGCTCACTGAGAAGAGGCACATAGTTGGAATGAGACAATAATAAAGTTGAATAAGAGAGCAATGGTGCATGACCTAAAGGCGAGGTTTGTCATTAGAAGGCAGCCAATTAAAATCAGGGTGCATTAGGGTGGTCAGTGGTGTTAGGATGAAGGAAAAACCATGATAAACGGTCCATGATAAAGAACTAATAGACGATCGTTCCGCTTTGTGACATGTCTTCGCTTAGAGTTAATCAGGGCCTTCTATTCTCCTGATCTTTAAGGAAAGGTGAGACAGCTCAACTCGAAGTATGACACTACTCGGTCGATTGAAATGGAAGACCACAACTGAAAGAATCCAAGGAAGTACATATATAAATTCTCTTTAATAATACTCCATTTGATACACCTGCTGTCTCACTTGACCCTAGGATTACCGAGCAATTGAACTCCATCGACGTCATCCAAACTGCATCGTCCCCCTGCCATTAGCGTTAAACTTAGTACACCCCCAAAAGTCTTAAGGCAGCATCTACATATTGGTTTCTTTTGGATGGAAATCGTATGCATAATTTGGTGGACTCCTGAGGGAATGCCTCCCGCATCCTTTTCAGTCCTTTTCGATCTACGAAGCAGTGGATAAACATGTTCATTCACTATGGACTAAATAATAAACGTCTGGTGCTCAGCTCTAATCACGGCATGGTTCGCCCCTCATAGGACCACCCAGTGCCCATGCAAAAAGATGGATTGGGGGCACCCTTACCTGCCAGTTGCTCCGGGCCAATAAAATGGTGTTTATAATTTCTCTGGGAGATTTTGTAAGGGAGAGCTGTGGTTTCAGGGAGAAGGATCCAAAGGAAGACGTTATTGACAGTTGAAGAGCCCTACTCGCCGAACAGTAGGTAACCTAGCTTCACTGGAGTTCAGATCTGACATTTCAAAAAACGAACAGCACCTCTCATTTTCAACGACCTCTGCGCATGGATTAAAAATGATTTCAGCTCCATTCAAAGCGTACATCATCCAATTTTGCGGGTGATGGCGACCGTAGCAAACATTGATAGCGACTTTGCCTGGAATTCGCACTTTAGCAGACTTTTAGATGACTAGCTTGAAAAAGTATGAAAGTGGATCCACTCAGGGTCAAGAAGCGGTTCGAAAACGGAGATGATACAAGTAAGTGGATTCCATATATTTAAAGTAGGACTGGACAAGTGAAGAAATTAATCGTGAAACATATGAATACATCAAGTTACTTAGAGTAATTCACCTCAGGAAAAAGTCTCCTAATTTCTACGGGATATGATTCTTTCGGCCTTTTGTCCGATCACGCTTGCCAGTGTGCTGAAATGAACAAACAGACGGGCCATTCAACAAGATACGTCGTTTTCTCTTTCGTCCCTCCTTCCAGAATTGGGCAACGAGATTACACAGATTAACGTAACTTGGCGACATCATGTAACTTCCTTCGTTTTCTATTCCTCATGGATCTGACAATCCGCAGCAAGCTTATCACATCTTATAGTTTGAAGATAGTGCAAAATCATTACTAATCCAAAATAATCGCGGAACATGAGTCTATCTTACCCTACTATCTTTACCTTACTGCCTCCTCTTCAATTATGATTCTAGGGCGCCTTCATCGATAATAAAGTCATTACAGCCAATACCTTAACTTACATGGCTAAATCCTCTTGACTTCTCTAGTGAAGTGACCAGAGACTGGTAATCCACGTACTGCTGGACTGAAGGTTAAAAGGACGAATTTACGATGGAAAAGCAACCCATTCCAAATTGAGGTAGAGATGGTGAGTAGTACCAGAAAGAAAGCGAAACCACGAAAAACGGCCCAGAACCGGAGAAATGGGACCCCTTCCTTGTCCGTTGATTTGAGCATTGATGGGACTCTCATCGCTTTGCCCTCTCAACCCTACGCTCTCTCAGCTATCTAATCACTCGCCACCTATTGTACTACGGCGAGTGATCAGACGATCGGTGGGCGGAGATCGCCGAACTCGCCAACTTTGAGCCATGCTAGATCTCAGAGGTCAAATCTTTCGATGCCGATTGCGTGTCTGTCCGCACCCTCAAGAGATTCACCGCTCTCCCCACTAGGCGATTTCTCCCTTCTTCGACCTTCGTTCTTTCCGTGCAATCCTCCTTTAAAGTGAGGGTTAGACTCCGAGGAGCAAACCAAGAATCTTACCTAACTTTCATGAAATTTCTCTTCACAAAGATCTCCCGCCGAGCGCGGCTGTTATGCTGGCAACCGGAGCATTTCCCAGGGTGACGGTCTTGAAACCCTATCTGGGATCGAATCTTGCCCAGATCAACCAAGCCTTCTACCCATTCGGAGTCGGTTGCCTGAATTGTCTAGGGGGAGAAAAAAGTCTGTATATAATTTAGATCGGGTTAAGCCCCATAAGTTAACTGGGAAAGCCTTACGCATCATGCTTCTACGATTCTGAATGAGAAGTAGAACGCGTGTGCGTATCCAAGAAGAATGATCAAAAACTGTAATGAAACTTTTATCTTTAACTTCAGTTTATATGAACCAAGTGGAACAGCACCTGTGAGAAGGAACTTTGCGTCGTAGGGCCATGCTCCGCTGATTCGGCAAACTGGGTCCATGGAAGTCGTTCACGAGTGCAAAACGCAAACGGCATCGCTAGAAAAGTCCAAGATGATTGGATATCATTATGATCGGCTTTCAATTAGGAACAAACTCCAGAGTTCGTGGAAGCAGATCATATTGGCTCCAGCGAGCACAGCGGCGTCGACCATTGTAGCAGCTTTGCGATGTATTGCTCTTCTTTGCTCCTCGATTGGTGCTGTTGTGGGAAGCACACGCCACAAGATGGAGAATTTTTGAATTGCCGGCTACCCTGACCATTAATATGACATTACATAAAATTCTTTTTTGACAGTAAAGTTTCTATAGGGCTTCAGTGCCTGACGTTACCGTAGCAGCTGTAAATAATATTGTTTTCGCTCAAATAAGAAATACTTAATTATGATAAAACCCAACAACCTTTAGTGCGTCGGTATGTAGGTGTGAATGGACAATGTCGTTGCAGTCGTCCGGACCAACCGCTAACAAAACGTGTCGGAGGCAAAACAGATTTTGAAGGCTTCCACTTCGTGATGTTGATTCCATGATCATGCCCGATCCATAACACCCTCACAGGCCGCCTGCCCTCCTATAAACATCTACTCCGAAACACGCATATTCAGCTCCATTCTTACATGCGCTTGCTGCCCCGTTGGCAGCCCGTAGCGGCCCGAGCCCCGGTCCTAGCAAGGTCTGAGGGGCGCGTGGGCGAGGAAAAGAGAAACGGCAGGCACACAGGGGGCGCGCCGGAGAGAGAGAGTAAGAAGGGCGCGCGATAGCGAGGCGCGCGAGGCCGACCCGGAAATGCTTAAAGGCGACGTAGCCACCGGCTTTCACCGATTAGGTTCGACCTTCCGGTGATGAGGCGTATTATCTTGCAAAGTGGATTGATGAATATACTCAACGGCTACATAAAACAACACTACTTAGTTCACCTTTTTAGTCATGCACAAGGTGCTGCCTAGTTAGCAAGCTGAGAGGTGGGCGGCAGCGTAGGCCCCCCCGCGCTAACGGCGCTCCGAGCGCATGCAGGATCGCCCAAAGCTCGCGAAACAGGGAGCGCCCTACGGTATCGGGTGCCCGGCGAACCAATGGGGTATATGAAATGAAATGTGTTTTTCAGACTGAGCTAAGGACCAGTTCGGCTTTTGAATGAACAAAAATGTAAAGAATTAAAAAATCCATATTGAGATGTGAGGACAGGAATACCTTTTTTATTGCCCCTCCCTCTCCAAAAAACACGGATAAGCCGACCTGTACATCGAATCAGGCCAGAAAATTATACAAAAGGGAATACGCTGAACTTCTTGAACTTGTATAAGATGAAGTCCTTTCCTCGGGGCTCATTGTTCTCATTTTCACTTGTTCCCGACCCTAAGGTCCCCCCCCTTCTATACTCTCTCATCGTCTTGATACGTCTACGTTATCGTGTTTACTGCTGATGAGATAATGTTGTCCAGTCGAATTGTAATTGTTCAAGATTGAGTCTAGATGATGAATTATGTGCGATAATAGCAATTAGCCATAAATGTGAAAGCATACGAAAAGAAGCTTCAAACTTTAGAACATTCAATCTACGATCCAAAATCAAGTGAAGCTCAGAGATATCAGCATTTTGTCATAATTGTCATTTTTTGTCATGTTCTCTTCTTGCAATCCATCACGTTAGATGTGTATCATGGAAAGATTTTGTGTCAATACTCTCCGCAGTCCTGCATGAGGTTTTCGGAAATGGTTTCCGAAAAAGAGGGCGGAAGTGGTGTAGTGGCAAGTGGCACGCTTACCACGCGAGCGGTCCGGGGATCAAATCCTGGGTCGTGAGTCGCCCGGGCCAACCAAGCCTTCCATCCCTCCGGGGTCGGTTAATTGGTACCAGACTTGTCTGGGAGGATAAAAACACTGACTTGTACATCGGCTGGCCCCGCAAGTCATTGTATAGGCCACATCGCATTCAAACGCCACTACGAATGTACAAATGGAAGTAGAATGCGTGCCGCATCCCAAAAAGGGATTGATCAACGGCAAATGCTTTATCCTTTATTTTATTTTACTCTCCGCACTATTTCACCCGTCACAATTCACATGCTTTCACTTACCTTTCTTGGAGCTCGCAACTCTTCTTCCTTCGCAAGCACTTCGTATGCTTTCAAATCAAAATTATTCTTTTTTGCAATTTCCAGTGCTTCCTTAGGGATCTCGAGTTCCCTGAAATTATTAGGGATTTCCCTGGTTACCAGTGAATGAAAAATGATATACAGTTTCTCTGCTTGCGAGCTCCCAAGGTTAACAAAAAAGTAGTCCCCGAAGTTATTTTGGTGTCGTCTGATATTTTGCAGAGAGTTTCGCAAAAAACACCTACGAACAACCGGCGTTCGGGCCATGATAACACTGGCTTCCGAATCTGCATTCTACCGCATACACTCCTTACAATAGTATTCAAAGTAACCTCCCCTTCAAAAAGCGAGAAAGTGTCGGGTGCAGACCAAACACCACAACTGACGACGGCCTCCAAGTAAATCTGGTTAGAAGTTGTTCATAGTGATAGCTGATTTCTGGTAAATGATAGTTGTAATTAGTGACAATCGACAACTGCAACAGGCTAATCATTTCATTGGCAGAAAACATTAACATTTTGTGAAGGCCGTCGTCACTTGTGGTGCATGGTCTGCACCCGACACTTTCTCGCTTTTTGAAGGGGAGGGTAAGTAGCATGCCGATAACAGCAACATCCAAAGTTCACACGAGATAAATAATTTTGCGAAAAAGGAGTGGAAAACATTTACTAACTTATGCTCTCTGCCATACAGTACCCTGTGAACTTCATCGTACACCGGACTTTTGAGCGCCTCCTTCAAGGCCTCATCGACGCTATCCAGTTGGAAGGCCGACGACATTTTACCTGAATGAAAGTATAGATTCAATTCAAAGTATGCAGTGAAAATCAACACTTAACATAAACCAGGTCGGAATGTCTACAAATCCGAGCCAAACTGAGAATGAAAATCTGGCTCTG